TTTTTTTTTTTTTTTTTAAAGGATAAAACTGACGAGACAAGGTCCAATCCTTGTAATCCTGTGTATAAGGGACAAGGCAAGCCTCGGGTCAGTGTTGTTGACCCGGTAATTTGATAGCTCCACCCCAAATAGCTAAAAATAATCGGTCCTTGTTGGTGTTGGTGGCGTCACCACTGCCGGCGATGATAGCGAAGGCGGCAGCGACGACAACAATAATAATAATAATAACGAAAAAACAGTATGAAAAGGGCCCACCAATTGACCTTTTGGCTTTTTCACCAGATTATTGACGCTTGTTTTGAATAACTTGATTACCAAAATCATGAGGGCTCATACGATAAGGTTAGTGATAGGATTTGAGAGGTGGTATTGCGGTTGTCAACAACTAAGCAACCAAACTCAAACTCAGTTTTTGTATTAGATAAGGGTGTCATTTGTATAAACAATCAAATTAAAGTTCACCTCCAAATTTTATCATAAACATAATTTTGATATGGTACTTGCCTAAACACGTCTCAAGTTCACAAAAATAGGAAGTTATCAAAATACTTATAAGAGATAAAGTATTTAACATTCTACCTACTTGATCATGTAGTTTCTATGGGTATTTGGAATTTAAATCAAAAAATTATTGGTGACGTGATAAATGATTTTTCTCCAATGAATAATTTGATACATTTTTCCTTGTAAAAATGAATGAATGAGAAACATCTGGACCAAACCCAAACTAATACTCATTGGAGTAAATTGTTGATGTAATTCAAGCTTCTTTTTTGTTTTTTGCTAGTTAAGCAAATTTTTTAAATGTGAAACCAGATTACATAAAATGAAAATAAAACAAAAATTGCAGACCATGATAATCTCCCCAAGAAAAGGACTAAAAAAATTAAATTAAATTATTAATAGAAGGCAAATGATTGTAATTGGTCTACTAAATAATATATGCTAGACTGCCCAAATTGAATGAGAAAGAAATATGACATGTACTGCAGTTAGATTTTTTTTTTTTTTTTGGGGGGGGAAATTAGGGATCCAATACAATTCAAATTTTACAAATCCATTCCCGATTAAAAAGAAGGGTACTTAGAAAAATAGAAGGTGAAATGTGTCTATCTTTTTGGGCAGCGATGCGCCCCATATTTCCTGTAATCTAGGGTGTCCGGCCGATATAATTCTGAACAAATCAGCTCACATAATCAAAATACTTAGAAGTTTGAATCATACTCGCTAGGGTAACAGGGGCAGCAATTGTCCAAATTTATGCCAAAACATATAGCCTTGGCCAATTATAAATCGATTCATTCGCTCATTTCATTAGTAAAGTCAAACGTCACTCTTAACATGAATATGATCAGAACTTTTTTTTTTCTCTATATTTTCAATTCTTACTCACCACCATCATCATCGAAATCTTTTCCCAACTATTTTGGCTCAGCTAATAAAAAGTTTTGACAAAGTTTTAAGTAGGTAGCCTACCTAATACAACCCACCTTGTTTACCTAGACTTGGGATGGGTTAAAGAAAAATTTAAGATCATCACCCTTCTTATACCAATTTTCAATCCTCATCAATTAATCGATTTAGATTATGTCCAAGGTTTTAAAACAACTGCTTCTTGAAAATGCTGGTCGTTATATCATTCACGAGCTTAACCTGTTATGATATATGACAGTGATGTTTAGGGAGGTAAAGATGGGTCTCAAAAGGGTTAAAATGATCATTTTTTGGCATTTCTAAAATGACTCATGGTCTACATAACGGCCCTCAGTTTATATTGATAAAATTAGCCTTCCAAATGAGAAGTTACTAAGTTAATGGCCATTATTTTTTTAAAAGCTGTTTGCTCAAAAAGATTAAAAAGAGGTTCTTCAAATATTTTCAAATGCTCTTCTCCATTACTCCTCATTCCTTTTCCCTTTCCTTTATTATTTATTTTATATTTCTTTTTTTCTTGATAAAAAACCAAATTCCCTAATATAACAGCCAATACTGCTGTAAAATGGGAGTACACTAGCCCCGACCATCCCGTTATATCCGTTTTCTAAAACTTTGTTACAATGTATCATAATGTGTGTGTGTGAGAGAGAGAGAGAGAGAGAGAAAGAGAGGGGCGGGAGGTGGGGGGGGGTGGGGGGGGGGGGGGCGTCAATTTTGTCAAACACACAAAGAGGCAGAGTAAAAATTTCTATGCATTAAATATTATCAATATGTATATATAATATAACTAGAGGTAACTTGCCTTGCAAGTTAATGTGTGCAACAAGATAAATTACAATAAGTAATCTACATATAAAATATACCCTTTCTATATAGATATGACAAATTAAATACAAGATCTCCAGTGGTCTCTACACTCCCCCTCAAACTGAGGTTGGTAGAATAACAACAATTTGTCAATGAGATAGTTGGGATGAGCACGAGTCATTGCCTTGGTAAAAATATATGCTAGTTATTATTGTGAGGCAATATGTGGGAATGTAACTTCGTCAGTCATGAATTTTTCAAGAATAAAATGACAATCAACTTCGATAGGTTCGTACCGTCTTGGAACATTGGATTGGAGGCAATGCTTATTGCACTCACATTATCAGCATACAAGGCGTAGGAGATCGATGAAGAATATTTAGGTCATGTAAAAGAATACTCAACAAGTAATTTCACAACAAGCTAAGGACAGTGCTTGGTATTCGGTTTCTGTAGAAGATTTCGACACAGTTTGTTGTTTCCTACATTTCCATTATATGATAGAATCTTTAAGAAATTTACACCATCTAGTGGTCAAGTGTCGAGTATTAGAGCAACCTGCCTTGATATAGGATCGTAAGTAGAGAGAAGAATCAGAGGAGAAGAACAGGCCTCTGTGGCATATACCCAGTAGATAACGAATGATATGATGGACAACCGAGAGGTGGATACAATGGGGATCT